TCTAGCCTTTGTATCTAGTGGCTGTCTGTTCTCTGACCCCAGATAAATTTATTAAGGTATACAATATTTTGGTGACACAATACCACCACAAACCGTAGAATATCATTTTCAATCAAATTGAGTCTGGAGAGATGGCTCAGCAGTTAAGACCACGGCTGTGCTTCCAGAGGACCTGGGTTCTATTTCTAGCAACCACATGGTGGCTTAGCACCTTCTGTGATCCATTTCTAGAGGATCCCTCTTCTTGCTTCCAAGGACACCAGACATGCATGTAGCACACAGACATATCTACAGACAAAATGCCCATAACACATAAAAATAAACTAGGTGCAAACTTGTGTGTTTAGTTCAGCAATACCTGTTATCTCAGTTTTTACAAAATTTCTGTAATCAAGTGAAAATTATTATGCCCATTCAATAATGAACAAGAATTACTTTTCATTGAAGTCAAAATTTAGGCAGAGAAATCATTCTTTCTCTAAACAACAAACTTTTCTCAAGTTCTTGTCTCTGACCATGAGGCTGTATTGACATAGAACATGCATGGAAACAACTGAAGAAGGAGGACACATGGAATTCCTCAAAAATGAGGCACAACAACCAATGGCACCATTAAAGTCGTGCTAAGAAATCACGGAACAGGCTCCTCCTGACTCCTCCCACTTCTGGGTCCAGGTTGCCTGATCTGGAACGGCACACAATAAACTTGAGTAATAGACACTTTGATTGGCTTTCTGCTTCCTGAAACCTCTGACCCATAAAAGTGGAGGTAGACGTGACACTCATACTTCAGCTCCTCCAACCTTTCTACACTCTGTCATAGGCCTCTGGATCTACTGCAAAAAAAGAAACTTGACTACCTTGTGATTTATTATTTATGTATTCATTTATTTATTTACTATGATGTTGGGAATTTAACTTAGGATCTCACACATGCTCTACCACTGTGTTGTTTTACCAGCCCATTCCCTTGTGATTTGACATGAGGTATGCATACAGACTTCACACAGACATCATCCATCAGCTTTGGAGTAAGATATTCTTGCTTTAGTTGCTGGCTATAGAGTGAGCACAAAGGAAATATCAGAGATCTGGGATAGTTCAGCTCTACGGGCAAGTCCTTGGAAGGCTTCAGGCTATGGCCATTTGATGAATGAGAGAAGAAATTCAGTATTATAACATTAATATGGCCCTACCAGTGTAACCTAACTAAGCTATAAACATTCTGTAACTTCTCTAAAAGCAGAGGCTGTTTAACATTTTTCCATTAAATACCACAGATACAAAATCTTTTATCTGTATTTCTAGTATAAAAATGCAATGAAATATTTAGTTGATTTATTTGGTTGCAAAATTGGGTTTGTTTCAGTGTGGAAGCATTTATAAGTGTTCTTCTGCCAACCTAAACACACAGGAGTTTCACTGTTGACGTGTGACTGCTTACAGAATTTTGCTGAGTGTTTCCAGGTGGGGTGGCTTATATTGTGTTAGATAATATATGCGTTATTTTACTTGCCTAAAACTTGAAAAATTGCATTTAGAAAGTGATTTGATCACAATGGTTGGCTAAAGGACAGTGTGCCAATATTGTATAGGTTGGTGCTTGCTTTAGGGAACAGTATATACTTTAATTGTATTAAGTGAATATAAATGTTGATAGAATTCATCTCAGAGGCATTCAAAATTTTACTTTGGTGAGATAATATTGTAGAAGGATGCAAAAACCAGTTTGTACTGAGTTTCAGTTTTCTGTACAATTTAAAAATCTAAAATTGCAGGCAATGATATTAATAGATTTATAATACCCCATTTTTTTATCAAATAACAAAAATACTGTGTTACACCACTCACTTAGAGACTATTGTCCCATATGTCATTAGTGGAATGTCAGTGTAACTAATACTGCATGTATACTGTCTCTTGAATATCAGAGGACCAGTGTTAGGTTTTAGCCCTGGCCTATCAAAGGGTTCCTTGAAGAGCAGAGTGAGAAAATGCTAGATAAAATATAGATGAAGAAAAAGACAGAGACTTTTTTATAATAGTTTTGGGAGGGTCCTGGGTCAATACCCAGTTGCCTCAAGTTTATTTCTAATGAACTTTTTATACATTAGCAAGAGGAGAGGCAAAAGACCTCCCCCTTTCAAGATCAAAGCACAAATGTACAGCCAAGTATAGACCCTTCACAACACCTGGTAACTACACTCCATGACAACGTGTCTTGTGATTAGGCCTTGAAGTATAATACATCTGGTAACCATGCCTTTTCATCCTATTATGAAGCCTTGGAGAGCAACATAGTCTCTGACTCTCTGACCTTGAGTCAAACCACAAGTTAGAATATTTCTGGGCTCCCACACTTGAGGCCACGCATAGAACTACATGCACAAACATTATTCACAATCTTTTATACTAATGTAATATAAAATGAAAGATTCATGACAATTAGAGAATGCTTCAGATGTTCAAAAATTCTCCTATTGTACATGTAATAATCTAGATTTTATACATTTAAAATAACAAATAAAAAAGATAGTAGAAATCATTTCATTGGAATAATGTGGGAAAATATCATTAATGAACAAGAAGAGTGGAAATTGCAGTAGTTTAACATAGAGATTTATGTGAAATTTTTACATTTCTATTTAAATCAACTGGAAACTCATCAAGTTTTAGCTTTGAAGGGATCTCATTAAATCACAAACATGGACAGGAAACATCATAAAGCCCAGAGTCAAAGATGAGGAACTGACAAATCTGTCCAAATCCAGGCAATCTTAAAGAAAAGATTGAGAAAGTTGGCTGGAAGTGAATGACTGAGGAAAGAGGACACATTTCATTGGCTGAAGTAGGGAGATGAGCAGGACAGGACTGTCCTATGTCCCCAGAGGTTCATGTGTTAAACTCTTGTTCCCCAACTAATGGTGCTTTCTGAAAGGTGGTGAGCACCGGGCCTGCCTGGAGGAAGTAGATCATGGGGAAAACCTTGGAGGGCTTTATCTCGTTCTTGATTTGTCTTCCTTCTCTGCTACCTGTTAGCCATGTTCCTGGTGCTATGAGCTTCTGCCTCATTGTGAGTACAGAAACAGCGGTGAAAAGAACCGTACACTGATATCTCTGAAACCAGGAGAAACCTTTTAAGATGTTCTCTCAAGTATTTTGGTCACAACTGCACAAAAGAAGTAATACAGAAAGAACGTCAACCACTTGGAAGGTGTGGAGAGAGCCTTGTGCTTAGCACTCTTAATGATGTGAAGAACCCATTTGGAAGGCAAGACATAGAAGTAGGCAAATCAATTGGAGATCATGGCTGTAACTCCAGTAATAGAGAACTAGACGGAGGCAGAGCAGCTCTGGATGAATAATGAGCAAGCAAAGACAGAATGCATTAAGGTTCTTATTTGCCCTCTACTTGAAGCTCAAAATCATGCTAAAGAATTAGCAGCTCTAGGCTGATGAGCTAAAGGTTGGTAGACCTGTGTCCTTCAGCATGTTTTTCTATTTTATTTCAAAGGAGAAAACTGAAGATGATTGGGTCTATACATGGCACTGGTTAGAAATGTTTTTGTGAGTGTTTCATGAGGAGCTGAAGATGTATAACAGCCTTTGCACAATTGTCATAGTCTGATGCATTTTACCATTGCTTTCTGTCACGTTTATGGGGAAGCGAGTAGAAGAAAGATGTGCAGATCTGCCCTTGGTGAGCCCTGACTATGGCAGCAATAATGTTCTTTTTTTAATCAAAGCATCATTCTTCTTCCTGATAAACTCAGAGAGTAATGGAAGCTACACTGAGGACAGGAGACTAAAAATATATGAGGTCCTTTTCTGCTGTGCTGAAAACATCTAAAAGAACACTTCATAGAAGTCATTTGCTCTACACCATAATCCATCAGGCTATTAAACATTTCTTTGAAGATAGAATGCTAGAAATATTAATCTGTATAAAACCTGTATTCTTCATCCTTGGGGAAGGCACAGGAAATTTCCCAGGGGAACTTCAACATTTCTCTAAGCCTAGTTAAAAAAAAAAAAAGAAATCAATTCAGATTTTTATCAATAAACCTTTAAATATGATAATGCATAGTTGTTTTTTATTTATTAACCCTGTTGTATTAGATTTCTTTATGTATTTTATCTGTTGGTAATCCATTGTTAGAGCTTTTTAAAAAAAACTGAGTAATGTTATAAAGTATCAAGAACTGATTAAAGCCGAAACCTAGTGATACATTTCAGTTTCTGCTATTTTCTATAATAGTGACACTGAGAGACACAGCTCAGTTGCCTCTCATGGTGTGTAATAAGTACCTTAGTCCAGTTTATAACTGATGATGCAAACACAGAAACCATCATTTTCTCATGTGTACTTAATGAAAAGTGAGTCTACATTTTGATTCTCATGCACAGTAGTATGAGACCCCGCTTGTTTGTGTGGGGCACTTGTTTTTATATCCTAGATTCAGTTTTCTCATCAGTAAAACAGAGAACAAACAAGAATGATCTCTTATGTCCAATATGTAATGTGTGCCATAAGCAGACTTTTTTTCTAAGAAAACATCACTAAAATTTAATTATCAAATATGTCAAGGAATTCTTACATTTATGACTTATTGTAAGCAGTTGGTAAGCATGTTTTGAAGAATAATCTCTAGTAGTACTGATTTAATATGTTGATATTTACAGGTATTGTTCAATTACATGGTAGAGTGTGTTGGGACTAAAATCATCTTGTGCCGTCACAATTTAGCAATGAAAAAAAATTCTAGATAAAGCTTCAGGGCAGGGACATTCCTTTCAGTGGAAGAATCCAGCACTTTGGATATGTAAGCCATCTAGTGAGGTAGCAAATGATTCCAGAAATGCGAGACCTGTTAGGTTCTTTGTTTGTTTCTGAAAAATTTCCCCTAAATATTCTGATTCACTGGTGAAATAGTATGAGAGGAAGACCATCCTCTGAACACTGAATCAAGCAGCTCTGACCCCTGGGAGATAATGCTGGAGATAAATATTGTATGAAGTGATCAGTGAGCCTTGGAAGACCCTCTTTAGAGGTATTTTGGCTACAACACCTATGCTCATCTAGGGGTGATGCACACTTTAGTGTCTCCTCTTATGATGTTGACATGAAAATAACTTACAAAGTATGCACATAGGAACTATCTATTGTGCTGTACTTACTCCACTTCACATGAGAGAAATCAGAGATTCACTGAGGCTTCTCTGATACTATCCTTACTCTAATCTCTACCACAGTGAGATTTCCTAGAAAAGTAACATTAGTCTGGCACTCCATCATCAATCAGTCCTTCATCACTGCTGAACTAAATATTGATTTTGTTATGATATCAGTTCCCCATTCTAAACCAACATGTGTTAGGCATCTCCCTTCCAGACTTTCTGAAACATTGGGAAACAACAAAAAATGTAATCATTTTTGCGAGATTTTTGTATCTTGCAGCTTTTTTAAAAGGCAATACTACTTTAACTTGGGTGCAGGACTGTCTTTGTTACAGGTAGATGCCAATTCAAGTGAAGTTAATGCAGATCTCTTCCAAAGCCAACATTGTGTTAGGCTTCGTAGGAGACAGAATAGAGACATTGCTCTCCACAACTATGTAGCTGTGGTGTATCACCTCTGCATTTTCCTTTCTCTCATCTGAGTTCAAAGATGTCCTCCATGTTCATCTTCTCACTTGCCCTAATTCTTAAGTCATTTAATATCTGTAGCAGAAATACCAATAATTATAAGCAACCCAAACTCGTTACTGAACTGTGATTTCAAAAGTCCAACTCAGTAGTCTAACTGTAGTGGTTGCATTTCCATAGACTTCACAGATACACATCAGCAATTACCAGAAAGAAACTAAGCAGAAGAGACAACATACATTTATTTTCCTTGCCTCTACCACACTTTTTTATTTATTATATTTTGAGAACTTCATATGTGAGTGCTATATTTATAACACTTCCACTACATTCTCTCCTTGAGTTCCTATGTCCCCTCAACTCTCTCTCAAATTTAGGGCTTCTTCATTATTGCTTTATAGGTACACACAAACACAACCTGCTAAGTCCATTTAGTGTTTTTCAAATATATATGTGTTTAAGGCTGATCACTTGGAATTAGACAGCTGCATTATTAAAATCAAAACACTCACATTCTCTTTCCCAAACTGAAACATTTCTTTGAAGTAGTTAGCCTTATCCAGTCTCATTAAATCTATAAACTTTCTAGTATAATGATTCTTTTTCCCATTTTCCCTGTGTAATAAGTACATCTGCCAGACAAACTTTGTTACCAGCTATTCTATGTGTTTGGATAATTTTTTGTTTACATAATCAAATAAAAATAACATTATTACTAGTTCTAACCAACATTCTTATACCATTACACAACATTGAACTACAGAAATATCATCCTACCTTTTTCTTGGAAATGGAGACCATTTCTCAACTATCTCTGAGTCATATGCTTTACACACGGCACTTTGATCCATCTGGAGGTTCTCAAGGGAAATTCACAATAGCCTTATACTTCCCATAACATAAAAGAACTATGTAATGTATTTGTCTCAACTCAACACAGTCCAAAGTCATTCCTTCAGATCTAAGCAGTTTGAAGTCTGTGGATAAATTTATTCATCTTCCAGGACTGTGCATGCAGCCTCCTCCTGTATTTATGCACTTTCCTGACTCTAACCAAGATACAGACCTCATTCCCCTGTGGATGTCATACATGGGTGAGTTTGAAGACAATAATTCCATGAAACCCTTTTGCAACTCTGAGCATCCCACTGCCCCCCTACACCTCCACACACACAGCTCTCCAACCCTACTTCCAGACCAAATTTTCTTGGCACAATTGTAAATTTGTATGAAAATCATTAAGATTCTTGATATAACACAAATGAGTTAGAAGGGAAGGTTCCACAGAGGACCCATCATTCCTTATTGATGCTGCCCTTGATCTTGAGCATCTATTTAGTTCTGGCCAAGCGTGGACCCTAAAGAAATGACTGGAGAGCTAGCAAACTTAAGGCAAGGAATCCAGAAATATAAAATAGATGTCCAAAGGGGTGCTACCCTCACGTGTCCTGAAGGGTCAGGCATTGATGTGGAGAACCCATGACAAGTAAACAGATTCAAAGCAACCATGCTCCTCATAGCTTAAGATGAACTTGGAATTCAAATCCCTCTGCAGAAGCAGGGGGTAGGGCCACCAAAACTCCCAAGTCCATACCTGAACACTCTGTCACTGGTATCTATCCTCCCTCAACCCCTGCTGACATCCCAAAGATATATTATCTAGCTGGTCCATTGAGAGAAAATCTTGGATTGTGTTCACCTTTACATTGCAGCATCTTAAAGTTAGCTAACAATGATCTGTATGTTGAAAGCTGCAACGCATTAGAAGCTTATAATTTAAAACACAATTAACCACACTGACTAGTTTTTAAATAGAAAATATGTAAATATACTACACTTGATCTTAGCCAAAAGGCCGAGAAGCGATGAAAATATGTAAATATAAAGTGTTCAGATTTTATGCTTTTTTTTCTCTAAGAAAATACAACACATACAACTAACTCCTCATGTACATTTTATTCTTAGCCAGAAGTTTTACTTTTTGAGTAAAGGAACAAAGTCTTGATTGACTAGGAGTTCACAGAGAATTGTTATCACAAAGGAATTGTTATAGCTACTCATGTTCTCAAAAAATCTGTCAAATACTATTAAATTGATAGGATGAATCAAATAAAATTTTAATGGGACATAAAAAGAATATTTTTTTTTTAAGTAAAGCTGAAAATCCGAGCTGATTTCAATTAGACTAGTAGGCTGAGCTGGTCCCTGAGACAACAGAGTGATGGTGTGAGTTCCTCATCTCCCAGACATCTTCCCTTACAAACCAATATGCCTACCCATCAGGATTAACATTTGATGACATTACAGTTACAGACCTCAAACCTCAATGGCACCTTTAGTGAAATGTATTCTTTCTTATATCTACTTTTTCTCTAATCAGGGACATAACTTACTGACATAACTTAACTTAATAACTTAGTTATTAAGCATTTGAGTTAAACTCTTTTGTGTAACTGTGACCAGGATTTCCAAAATAAATGATTTAAAGACAGAAAAGCATCTTTGGCTCATAGTTTCCCAGAGTTTTCAGTTTGTCGCAGTGAAAGCAGGGCAATGGGACCACGGAGCAGTACCTGTTCCCAAAATAGCATATTGGGAAGCAGGGAGTCTGAGACCAGAATTAGGAGTGGGTAGAACCTTCAAAGACTTGTCCCTAGTCACCTGTTTCTGCCAACCAGACTCTATTTCCTAGAGGTTCCACAGCTACTGGTGTTCAAAGTATTGGCCTATACAGACATTTTAGAATTAAACTGTAACATTATTTAATAATATCATTTTTATTTCAGAAGTTTCTATTTGCTGTGCATTAAGTGTTGTGATGAACCTCATTTCAGTACATAGTCATTATTTAAATTTGTCTTTTCACATTTCATACGTGCATGGAGTACATTCTTATCATTCTCACTCCCACCTTTTTCATCTCTTTCACTCCTTTCCCCCCCAAAGATTTTCATGGTTATGTCTTTTCATTTTGTTCTGTGACCCAATGACTGTCTTGTGACCATGGGTTAGAAACTATCCAATGGAGCTTGGTGGGCTTACCAGTGGGAATACAACTGAAGACAATGACCCCCTTAGTCATCATTGTTCAGCAAGGAGAGGAAGAGCCCCAAGAGTTCACCCTTCATCCATCACTGTCTATTAAAAATCTTTGTCTTGTGCAGAACAGTGCAGGCAATGATAGCTACTTCACGTTTATGTTTTACTGACTGTTTCATACCCAAGAGACAGCCTTTTCTCTCCTTAGCATCCTGCATAGCACTTTTAGCATTATAAAAACTAGCCAGCATGGAGGAATCTTACAACTCAATTCCAGCTTGATCTTGACCATTATGTATGTCTTCCCTTTGTGAATTCTACCTTTCTTCTCT